AAAAGAATGAGTTATAAATGAACTTAAATATTTTTAAATAGTTCATACTGAGTATAAAATGAAGCTTGATTTAATAAAATGAAGGCCATTAATTATTTTTGTATTAATATTTTATTCTTAAATTTGATTATTATTAACATTAATCTATATATTAATAGTTTATTACATTTTTTTTTAAACATATGTATGATTTGGGCTATGAATCAATTATGGGTCATGTCTCGCTTAGGGCACACATCGAGAGACATGTCACTAGTGATACTTTATGTCTTATGCTTACATGTGAGTTCTGCCCAGCTGGTTGAAGGGCTGCTGATAGCATGAGCGCTGAAACTTCGGAGTCGATCGTAAAGTAACTCCCGATATCGGATTCGGAAGCCCAGTAGGATCCCGTTAATCTTCTCCTCAGGAGGGGGCTAAGGACGACAGGACATGCTGAGCGAATGTCACCACACATAATCAACAGTGTCATTAAAGGTGAAGTGCGGAATATCTGTGTCAGCAAACAAAATTGCTCCTTCTGCTACTTGTCAGAAAAAAGACAGTCCCGCCCCCTTTAAGCTTTTGCCATTTGATTTGTGTCTAGCATTGAGTCATGTTGTGTTGAGTACATGTAATTGGAGGTTGTGTAAACATGTACGTTGCTAATAGCCGGAGGGAAGACATCTTTATACTCTGGATAAATGCAAGGATAAACCAAGCTTTTGCTAATTCTAAGCTCAAGTTTAATAGGCAAATCAGGAAAATCCCCACAGTAAAGCGTGAATGAATTGGCTCTGGGGGAGGAACCAGTTCACTCACCTTTTTTGTCCACCTGAATGGATAAAGACATGAACCAGAGGCCTGTGTCTTTTACATCCTGCCCTCTTTGAAAGGGTAATTCAGGAGTGACTTTGAGAATATGTGTTTTAGATACACACTGTGCCCTCTTGCTCTGTTATTACAAACCACTGATGGAAAAGCATGTAAGTGCTATAAGTGAAAAGCCTTGCCCACTTACCTGCCAGCATATCAGCACAGAGGTTGTGGTGTGTGGCGTGACAGTTAGGATTGTGGGAGATTCGTCAGGAGCTGGAGAAAGCAAGAGATACAATTCAATGGAGAGGGAGGGACAGAAAGATAATTGTGCACCTGGCATCTCTTTGAATGTTTTGCTGCATCAGCTACAATGTCTTACGCTACATAAACACTGCATTGCTAAACATGCCAAGCCTGTCTTACAGCCTGATTTGTTCTGTCGGGTTTTAAACAGGCATTATGCATGGCCCGTCTCACTTCACTAAAGTTACTTCACAACAACCAGAGATACTGTATTACCTCACTTATTCTACTGCCTCCAGCAATGACATCATCGCTGGAACACAATAGCATCACCTGGGTTTACAATAAGAGCTTGGCTGCTATCATGACAGTGAAGTCAAGCTCTCGTAATACAGCCTGAATAGCATCTTTGTGCTATATAATGGTCAATTCATGAAACGCACATCACATACAGAATGATTTGGCTGTATATATTCAGAGAAAAGAAGAAGGCGGGACCATGTAGAGAAGGATATGGCTCTGCTCCAAAACCTAGTGAGCTGCAACACTGTCTATATAGGACTAGGAATTTTTGCTCATCAAGGCTGCATTAATTTGATAAAAAAGAAAATACAGTGAAAACAGTAATATTGTCAAATATTATTACAATTCAAAATTGGTTTTCATATATTTTAAAACGTAATTCATTCCTGCGTTGGCAAAGCTGAATTTTTAGCATTATCACTCTAGTCTTCAATGTCACCCTTCAAAAATCATTCTAATATGTTGACTTGGTGCTAAAACATTTCTTATTATAATTGTTAAAAATCAGCTGTTGCTTACATTTTTTGTGGTACTGATACTTTTTTTTTTTTTTGGTTTCTTTTAATGCAGTTTAATGCACACCAAATAAAAGTATTAATTCCTGTCCAAAAAAACAACAACTTACTGATACATAGCACACACAAATATTGGGTGAAATAGTCCACTGAAATTATATTGAACTATTTATATCTATCTTTTGGAAATGTTTTTTTTTACCCCACAAACAAGACTTTTTAGCCTCAAATCGAATAAAGCACTAATTTATTGAAGCTCTTTTCCAGTGTGCCAGAAGAACCAAATGATGCTGCTAAGTGTTTGTTTGTAAGCAGTAATTCAATTTAATTGAGCGTCTCCCACAAATTTTGTTTGCCACACTGTTTACAGAACATATGAGTTGTTGACTTCAATCTTGGCCATGACAACACTGCTGAAAAAGGCAGTTTAAAGCAACCTACTGTAAGCTGGTTCTCCCAACCTGCACGGGTTTGTCTGGTTTGCAGATTTTAGAGGGGTTTGGGGCACTTGTCAGCTGATTAGGCTGGAAGACCATTTGCCTGACCTACTAAAGACTAGTTGTGGGCAGTCTTGGACACAAGGTAAGAACATTTGAAATGCTGGATGCACAGTCCACAATAAAACACTGATAAAGAGTACAAGAGAAGTGGAAAGAAGAGGAAAGGGTTAAATGTTCTAACCATCCTGTAGTGTTGTAATGGCTTCACTCTCTTCGCTGTAGTCACTGTCTCCAATATCATTAGTGGCCTTCACTCTGAACTGATAGGAGGTGAAGGGCTTCAGTCTGAAAAAAATAATAAAAATCACACACAAGTCAAAACACAGGCTGCTGCTCGGAATATGCTTTGCGTAAAGCCAGTATAAAGTTACAAGTATCGTCACTTGTTGATGGAAAATCTGTGCAGTGAAGTACTGTGACTTTATGCATGAAGGACTTTCGAGTCAAATCACACAAAACTTCCCAGCAGATGTCTTTTGTACCTGTCAACAATATAGGAGCTGGACTCGTGGCTAACAGACGCAGAATGAACCGTCCAGTTCTTCTCAGGCAGCTCTCTGACCTGAACCGTGTAATACCGGACCGGCGATAAACCGTCGCTGCCGGGTTCCCATGACAACTGCACGCTGCGTGCCTGTACGTTTTCCTGAGGGACTGTGGGACGGCTGGTGGGCTGGGGCCGAGCTGGAGGTCAAAGGTCAAGCATA